TAATTCCTGTCGGTGCATCACCGGTCCTCATCCTGCCATTTAAACTGGATACCCTCGTTTGCAGCCTTGCCTCGCGTTTCCCGCACCATTAAGCACCTTGGAAAAATGCTCGGTAAAAGCATTAATATCTGAGATCCAGCAATCAGGCGGTTTTCGCCCACGCAGCCATGTCCACAAGCCGCGTGGGTTGGACAGGGTGGCCTGAATCCTCCTCCGCATATTTTCCAATTCGGTCTCCTGAATAGCGGCCTTCCTAGTAGCCTCCTTAAAGACACGGTGCTTGGCCTTCCAGGTAGCCCTATGAATGTCCGGCAGCTTGCCCGAGGCGGAGTCCCTGATCTCCTTACGGAAACTCATCATATCATTCCACGCAGCGGCACAGTCCTCGTTCCACCAGTCACGCTTCACAAAATTCACCTTTTTACCCGTGCGACGCCGAACATCTCCCTAGCACACGTCCCGATTAGGGTGCGCAAGTCATTCATGCTTTCATCACAAGAGGCCCCTTCTCCTTGAGTTATCCTGTCCTCCCCACCTTTTACACACACACACAGACACACGCACGCACACACAAGCACCCTCTCTCTTCCCAACCCATCCACCCACCTTGTTCACAGCCACCCTTCGCCCCTTCTTCCCCCCAAGCACACACACACACACACAGGTACATGAGCGTCTACTCATGTACCTGTAACACGGCTCGTTCCACAGGCTGCCGTACCCCCATGATGCGGCAGTGCAGACCGTCGCAAACTTGGTTGGTTTACATCGCAGTGAACAGGATGCGGAGACAGCAGAGCTCGTTGGCCAGTAGAGCTCTTTGGCCAACCGTAATCTATGGAAGTTGCCATCATAGCGTAACTGCGCGAGAAAGCATACGTTTTTCAAATATGCTTTGCACCATCAACATTGCTGACACGAAGAGGGAAGGTCTTTGGCCCAAACAACAAATCTTTCCTGAGAATGAATTCACACAGCGAAAGTGCTCGAATGATCGAGGAGGGATCGTGGCCAGCTCTGCAATGTGAAATTTGAAGCCGAGAGCGTCTCGGTGCGTGCGAGCACCGTTGTTTCACGTGAAGTAAAGTTGTGTTTCAGCTATTTTCGGTATTAACTGTTGCTTCTGTTAACTGAAATTTTGTTACTCGTTTGAGAATTATTTTGGTAACTGGGTTGTAGCCGTATGTCCATCATTTGCATTTCACTCCACAGACTCCAGACAGCGTTTACAAACCTATCTAACCAACACTTGGAGCTCTAAATATCTCATCGCATCTCTTCCTTTCGCTTTCATGCTTTATGCGTGCGTCCAGTTACACGCGGCCGGCGGCGTTTGTGAAGTAGTAGGCTGCTGCATGCTGAACCACCGAACAGCCAGCAGCGCTTCCAACAAGTTGCCTGGCCCTCCGCTTTCCGGACACCATCACACAGAATACCATATTACCATCAACTTTGAATTGGATGGGAGCGGCGCTATGTCGTTGCGTCTCGTGCGGCGCCCCAAGCGATGCCGCTCGCCCCGATATTGCCGCCAGCACCGCAACTTTTGCCAGCAGCAAGCCAAATCAAATCTGCGATCCTCCTTAGCAGCAGCAGCAGCTCGAGCTCGCACCGACTGCGGAGGGGCCCGAGGGGGCACAGCGCATTGCTGCCCCATGGGTCCTTCCAGCGCACCTCAACGTCACTTCGGACCTTTCGGCCACCAACGCGCAGCACCTTTGCCAGCTTCCAGCCTTTCGCGAAGATTCGTCATCGTCCTCAGCTGTCGCTGCCGCGACCGACTTCCTTAGCCTTAGAGCTGCAACGGCAGGCCTTAGCGCAGCAGCAGCAGCAGCAGCAGCAGCAGCAGGAGCTATTAGTCATTAGGAACAGGCCCCAGTTCAAGCATTCCAACGCGAAGCCGTCGAGCAGAGGCAAGTACGGCGGGACCTGCCGCCGACGGCACCGCTGCCGCCGCCGCCGCGTTGCACCTGGCAGGACGCGGTCGCCACAAGCAGTATTGGCGCCACCGACAGCCCCTTCGCCGCCACCGCCGGCGCCGCCACTGCCGTACCAGCCTCCGTACCATCTGCCACCGGGGGAGTTCCCGGGGTGTTGGGGCGCCTGCGACCCCGCACCCCGCGCGCGTTCCTGCTCGCCGACTTGCCGCGCCCGGCTCCTGCGGCAAACAACAAGAACAAGCTCGTCTTTCCCCCCTCCCTCTCTCCCTCCCCCGCAGCTCCCTTCAGCATGTGGTCGGGTGCGGCCGTCTCCTCCCTCTCCGCCTTCTCACAAACCGTGAGGTCGCTTTCAAGCTGCCATTCAAGTCCTCACGGCGCCGCCAGGGCCCAACACCCGCCCGCCTTGTCGGGCGGCGGCGGCGGCGGATCTCACAGGCAGTTGCTGACGTCAATGTCATCGATCTCGTCCACTGCTACCGCCGCCCCCTCTCCCGCCGCCGTCGCCACGCAGTCGCCGCCAGCGCCGCCGACAACTCCCGTACAGCTATCACCGCCGACAGACGCTGCGGCGGAAGGCGTTACAGCGAGCGGCGATGTACGGGACGGATGCGGCGTCAATCGGGTGCCGCAGCGGCCCTCAGCGTCGCGGAGCCGCCGCCGCCGCCATCGGGCCGGGCGCCGGTAGGTGCGGCGGTAATGGCGGCGGCAGCCAGACCAACGAACCAGCTGCCGTACACACCGGTACGACGCAGGTTGAAGCTCCACCCCGTGGGCTTGTCGAAGGCCTTGCGCACCCAGCAAACGTAAGCGGCGTTGGCGGCGACAGTATCACATCGCGACGAACGACAGACGGTGTCACAGCCCTGGATGCTGATGCCGTACCGCAGATTCCCAGCACAGGCAGCGGGTACGATGTCTGCGCCCCTGCTTATGTGCCGTACGGTCGAGAGATGGGGCTCAGGGGAGGTGGTGCAAGAAGCGCCACTGTCGTCGGCGGCAGTAGCGGTGTCAGTGCAGGCGGCAGCGACGGCGGCGGTGGCGTTGGCAGTGGCACTCTGGGTAATAGGACGCTGTCGTGGGCCTTACGCACAGCGCCAGCGGGGTGGGATTCCGCGTTTTCCCATACGGGATCGTTTCCCGATGGCGGCACCCGCCGCCGCCGCCGCCGCGGTGGCGGCGGCGGCGGCAGGGTCGCCGCCGGCACCGGCATCGAGGGTGGCGCCGAAACCTTGGAAGTAAACAGCGGCGCTCCCGTCGGCCGTACGGCAGATAGGCGCATGGGACGAGCTGCTGCTGCTGCGGCTGCTGGCGCGGAGGCTGCGTTACCCAGACCCGAGTTCACGTTCGGCGAACCTAGGTCCTTGTGTTCCCGGAGGCGCTCGTCCATGGCCGTTGTGGTAAGAACCGTTAGGGGTAACGGCCACGTGATAGTAATGGCAGTTAGAATCGTTGATTACGACGTGGAAGTTCATCTTGCACAGCCTTAGTAAAATTCCTTCTCCTTCAGGACGTTTCTTTCCTCACTCTTAACCCTAAAACCTCAAAGCCACAAGTCCCTAAAACCCTAAAATCCTAACATTCACACCGCAGGTTGCTGCCGGGGCTGGGTCAGACACCAGCAACGCAACAGCAACGGCGCCACCAGCCGTACATTTGCAGTACGATAACTTC